TAAAATTATTATTTTCGATTCCATAAATTTCAAGTTTGTAAAGAAGAATATCATGGTCCACAGTATCAAAGGCCTTAGAGAGGTCAATAAACACCCCAAGAGTATATTGGTTGTTTTCAAACCCATTTAATATTTCTTTAACTAATTTAATTACTGCATGTTCTTTCGAGTGTCCTTTTCTAAATCCGTACTAATTATTATTTAAAACTTTGTAGGTTGTGAGATAGTTGTAAAGCCTATTATGCATTATTCGCTCTAGAATTTTAGAAAAACATGGGAGTATTGAAATAGGTCTGTAATTAGATAACTTTGAGATATCACCATCCTTAAATATTGGAACTACTCTCGCTAGCTTCAAGAGATCAGGAAAAACGCCATTTTTAAATGAAAGATTAAAAATAATAAGTAAGAGGTACTCAATAATATCAAAAACTTCATTAACAACCTTAGGGCTTATACCATCAAGGCCTGCGCTTTTGTTTGGTTTTATCATATTAAAAGCAAACCGAAGTTCATCAGGCGATACCTCAAGCTCATCCATTACATAGTCCTTTCCTTTTAAATATGGTTTAAATTTTTTTTTTCCTGGAGTTATTTTGTTTGCTAGGTTTTTACCCGCGTTTATAAAAAAGTTATTAAAACTGTTTGCAATATCTTTTTTTTCACTAGTTATTGTTCTTTCATCCTCAGTATATAAATATTTCGGTAAACAATTACCACGAGTTTTCTTTTCTTTTCTTTTCACTTCCTTTATTATATCCCAAGTTTTTTTGTTATTTTCAACATATTTTGTAATAAAGTTGAGAAATAATTTTTTTTAGCTTTTTTTTTCAAGTTTTTAAACAGGTTTTTTTAAGTTTTATATTTTTTTCCGTTTTGATAAGTTTTTTTTTTAAATATTTTTCATAGAGTTTTTGTTTTTTCTTAGAAGATTTAATAAGTCCTTTTGTAATCCATGGACTGTAGGTTTTTACACTTGGTTTTAATTTCCTTCATCGGAAACGCTTTGTCGTACGCATTAAGAAACTCGTTGTAAAAAAATGCATAAGCTTTATTTGTATCTTTACATTTATGTAGTTGTTTCCAGTTTACTTTGAGTAAATGATTTCTAAATTCCTTGATATTAAATTCAGTAATCTGCCTATTTATTTCTGTTAGTACTTTGCTTTTTTTTTTCTTTTATACAAAAATCAGATGTAAAAAAAATTGAAAAGTGGTCGCTTATATCGCTTTTTATGATTCCACTTTGAATGTTGCATGTTGTGAAAATGTTAGTAAAAATATTACCAATGAGAGATTCAGTTAGAAGAGTTACACGAGTAGGCTTGTTAATTAAGAAAAGAATGTTGTATTAAAAAAGTAAGTTTAAGAAATGTTTTACGTCGTTATCAATTTTAACATTAAGAAGATTTAAGTTAAAGTCCCCCGTGATGTAAGTTAAATACCATTTTAAGTGTTTTTGAAAAGATTTTTTATTTCCGCTTGGTGGTCTATACAAAGCAGTTACGAATGCGTTTTTTTTATTGTGGTTTAGTAATTCAATAGTTAATGATTCATAATTCGCATTTTGAATGCTAAGAATTCTCTATTTTCTGATAATGGATTGACTGGTGAATAAAAATGCATACACCGCCACCAACGCCACCACCTCGAGTTTGGTGAATAGCTTTATAACCTGGAATTTGAAAGTTATTTTTTTCACTTTTGCATTTTTTTAGCATTGATTTAAAATTTTCAAAGTTTTTACTCATACTACGTATGTTTAAAGTTAATGTTGAAAATAAAGATTGTGACGCATTCATGAGGTTAGAAACTTCCTCAATATCAAAATAGTTTGAGTTGATTATGACGTCCTCAGAAAAGTTTACATCTGGATCAATGTCATTATTCAAAAGAATTGTGTTTTGTTTATTAAAATTTCAAAAAAATTTGTCGCATTTAATTTGTTAGCCATTGTTATTATTGAAATATTCAAGATTAAGATTAAAATTGTTTTCTAACAGTATCATTTCGTCTTATTGTAAACCTTTTTTTAATATAATAAGTTTATCATACCTGACAATAACGTTTTCTCCTTTTGATTTTCTTTTTTTCGCTTCTGTAAATAACTTCTTATGAAGGCTTGCCGTCTCTTGCGAGACGGCAAGCTTACGTAGATTTACGTAGATTTACGTAGATGCTTAGTCCTTTTAGTTTATGTGTTTCTTTTAAGATGTTTGATTTGTCTATGAATCTCAATAATTTTAACATAATGGTTCGAGATTGAGCTTCTTTTTTAGGGCCAACTCGATGCGCCCTTTCAATTTCAACTCCTTTAACTCCTAATTTATTGCATAATAAACTTTGAACCTTTTCTTCTGTTTTATCCCAGCTTTCATTTGCATTTTCAGGAATTCCAAATATCCTTAAGTTATTTCTTCTCGACCTGTCTTCGAAGATTCTACATTTTTTGTTTAAAATATTAATAATATTCGGGGTTTCAATTTCTTTAGCAGCTTTTATCTTTTGGTCTATTAAATTTTCATGAAAGTTTAAACTTTCTTTCAAGTCTTTTACATCGTTTTCCAACAAGTGAATTTTTTTATCGTAATCCGATAATTTTTTTTCAAAATTATCGCTAAGTAAACCAACAAATACCTTTTCTTGTTCTTTAAATAATAATTGTATTTCTTTCTTGTGTAGGATAAACATTTCTTGTATTTCTAATAAAGTTATAGCCATTTTTTAATTTTTTTTTTTTTTTTTTTTTTTTTTTTTCTGTTAAAATTACGTCTGCTCACCGCGGCGGTCAACTTTTACTTTTTAGAATTCTCAGCTATTTTATTGATTTATTTTAGTGTATTAGGTCAGGCAAAAAATAAATACATTAATGATATTAAATATAATAGTGTATAGAATTTCTGTACAAGATGGACAATTCCTTTGTTTCTTTTTGGGGATTTAATTATTAAACAGAGCAGCACTACCAATTGTTCCATATTCTAGATTATGGCTATTCTAGGATACTGTAAAATAGTATGAGTAGAGTTTCGCTAATCAACACAGACATGCTCCATCTCAGGAAGATTTATTTTATTAGCGACATAATCATACAGCATAAGTTTTCGTGTACTACAAACTTTGTATAAGAATGAAAGTTAAATTTGGAAGAACTATTATTCTTTTTAGTTAAATAATAAATATTTTGTTATCGCAATCAACATAGTTCATTTATTTAACACACTTTTATCTGTGTTGTAGCCGTGTTTATAAGCCATTTAAAACTAATTAAAATTAATAAAGCGGTCATAACAGATTAAGCATAATTTTGTCACACGAAAAATGTTACTTGTAGAGCTAAAAAAATGTCATATCTTATTTATTTGTAATTAACTATCTAAACATCCTAAAAAATATTAAAAATATTGAATAGAAAATATTGCATGCTTATTGCTCTTGATTATTAAAAATAAGTAAACTGACTTTCATTTAAAGGTGAAAGCCGTGGAGAGGCGACGACCTCGGAAAAATGAAGAGAACGCCAAATTCAGGAACTTCTCTAAATGAGTACAAGGTCCGGTTTATTCAAGATGGTGTGCCATTTGAAGCAAGAGTGTGTCACAAAGCATTCATAGCTCTGTTTGGAATAATAAACAGGAAAATCCAAACTATAAAATTTGCATTGTCAAAGTCTTGGAAGCTTTGTTTTACTTGTTATAAATCTATGAGTCGAAGGATGTGAAATAACGCCGTATGATTAAACATAATTTTAAAATAAAGTATAAAGTCCTGATATTAAATTATTTCTTTATTTAGAAAATTCTTACAATCATAGAATAAAAAAAACATGATTTTGTTGTATTTTGGTGTTTTAATTTTGTTGAAATAGCTTCACACGTTTTTTCAGCTCCAAAAAGAGTAATATCTCTTTTAAAAAAAACGTCACACTAGCTTCAATATTTCTAAATATTTTCCAACAGTCGTGTGCAGTAAAATAGTAGTGTTTATTTTATTTTTCTATCAACAAACTTTGAACATCAAAATTTATTTTTATATTGTTTATTTTTTATTGTTATTGTTCATAAACTAAATGTTGTGATTATTTTAGTATAAAAAAAAATTAAGAAAGATAATTGCAACACTGTGCGGTTTTAAATTTCAATATTATCGATTGAAGGTCATTTGTATTTTTTTTTTAGACTGTGCAATAAAATAGTAGTGATAATTATTGTTATTGTTCATAAACTAAATGTTGTGATTATTATAGTATAAGAAAAACTTAAGAAAGGTAATTGCAACACTGTATGGTTTTAAATTTCAATATTATCGATTGAAGGTCATTTGTATTTTTTTTTTTTAGACTGTGCAATAAAATAGTAGTAAAAATCATTTTTTATGAAAAGGTCAAAAAATAATTAATTTTTATTACATAAAAATTTTTATTTAGAAGGTCTACATTAGTATTTTGTGGCATGACCTTATTTGTAATAACTGCAAGCATCTTCGTTGCATGGAATCAATAAGATTCTGGCATCGTTCGACAGATATATTTTGCCATGCTGACTGTAATACGTCCTACAACCAATTACAACCGCTTGCATTATTTTCAGAAACTGCTTGTTTAACATCAGTTCTAAGTTTTCAATCGGATTGAAGTCGGGGGAATAATCTGGCCACTCCATCACATCGATTTTGTTCACATTAAACCACGATTTGGCTAACTTATGTTTGGGATCATTATTCTTCTTGAACAAAAATTCTAACGGTATTTCTTCTTCAGCATAAGGCAGCACGATCTCTTCAAGTATTTTTACATATACAAACCGATCTATGATACCTTCTATGCGATGTATCGGCCCATCTAAATTAAAAATAATAGTTTTATTTTAGATGGAGTTTAAATAGCGTTTAAAACGAACCATTTAGATATGGTTTAAATGAAACATTTGATTGACCTATGTTCTAATTCGAAACTAAAATAAATTTAAACATTTAGAACAAACATTAACTAAACGTTGATTAAATGTTCGAATGCCCGCTGGGAAGTATCCCGACGGGCATACAAACATTTAATCAACGTTTAAGTAATGTTCGTTCTAAATGTTTAGATTTAATTTAGAACGTAGGTCAATCAAATGTTCCATTTAAACCGAATCTAATTGGTTCGTTTTAAATGCTATTTAAACTCCATCTAAATCTTTCGTTTTAAACGTCGTCTAAATTTTATAAATGTACGTTTCTTTAATTTATATGCTTCTTTAAATAAGCGCCGTAAAGAAAAGTCAAACGTTGAACGCGTAACTAAATACTCATAAACGAATCAAACAAACAGATATTTTTTTTCATACATGCAAGTCTTAAACATATTTACACTAATTTTAATTATTATAATATGAATTATCGTATTTATCATTATCATGATCGCTTCCATGACAATAAGCATCGTCTTTGCTTGAATCGTTCAAGCCAGCCTCTCCATCTTGAGAATTGGAAAAATGGGCCACATTTCCCAGTGCCACCTAAACGAAACGAAGCCATTCTAAAATGAGAACCAATGCACGAATGTATTTCGGACAAAGAAGACGTAGAATATCGTTTCAATACATACTCTAAATATAATTTAAAAAAATCAATAAACATCTTCATTCAATTCATTTAAATCATTTATTCGACAATTTTATAAATTCGTAGTGTGTACTGAGTAGATTTGAATTATAACCTGAGTTTGAATTTAATTTTAATTACAAAAAATATAAAAATAATATTTTACCAACAACAAGTTGACACAGCAGAGTCTCTAAACGGAAGCTTTTTAAGAGAACCTTTACCATCCATACTCAAATGAGACATAACAAAATTTGTAAAAAGTCTTTTCAATAGATTCTTAGAAGTATCTTTAATGGATGACCCTCCGATTCGTGAAAGAAGGCGAAGGCTACAAAAGAAGGCGAAGGCTACAAAGAAATTATTTATAAATGCTACTTTTCATTACACATGGGATTCTAATTAATACAAAAACAAAAGTCTTGCCACCTCAATGAAAGCAAAACATATTTTCTGACATCAAAACAAACATTATATAGACGTTAAAAACCTTTCTGGGAAAGAGGATGAAAACAATTAGCTATACACTTACTAAAATTGTTCGATTAGCAAGAACTCCACATTGCTCCTCTAATTTTCTGTATCCATTCAAGGTCCCAATAGCTCCAGCTATAATTTCTAGATGGACCTCAGCAACAGTCTCTAAACTTGGTACGGCCATCATTTCCACTGCTATTAGTAAATCTTTAATTTCGTTAGCCATATTTGATAACTGATAAAGAACTTTTCTCTGAAACTCTGTAAAATATATAACATTTATATAAAAACCTTATTAAAAAAACTACACAAATTTTGTTATAACTGTTCACAGTGATAGGTTGATAATAGATAGCACAATTGCAAAGCAACTGCCTTATCTACAGTAAAAAAAAAAAAACAGTCGAATTAAAAAATATATTATTAAATTATATATAAATAAGGTTTGATAACTTACTCCCATTATCGATTTCATTTTCTTGAGGAGCAGTTGGCTCACTCAGTATCATGTTTGCTTGAAACTTTCTATTTAATGCTGATAGTTTCACTACAATATAAATAATTATACAACTACATTGGGCGTTGTAAATCAAAACTTATTTAGAAACGTCATTAAATTTTTGCAGTATATATGTAAATCAGACCCCATATACTATACAACATTATACTATAAATAAACAATAATTAATATCATTATTACAGTTAATTCTAGATATCTCTAATATTTACCAAATCCCTTGGATATTACACTTAAGTTAAAAATTAAGTATTACTTGATCGATCTATTACATTGTCTTTTGATGTGGCAGCTCTCTGTCTGAATATTAATATTTTAGAATCAAATTTTCGGGGTAACAGAAAAGGAGAAAGTGCTGATTGGTTAGCTGTAAATAACTATGTAGTTGTAAATAACTATGTAGTAATGTAAATAACTATATAGTTACATTATTTATGCAAAGTTGTTTTCAATGAAAATTTACTTAATTTTCCTAAATTTGATTTAAAAAAGTTTATCCTTAAAAGGATAAAGGATTAAATATGTTCATAAGTCGTAAAAGTTAGTAGGTCTAAATCTGAAGATTATTTAAAAGTGAAGGTGGTCTATATCAAAGATATAAATTTGGACACCTTACTTGATTGATCCATTTTATTTTTTTTTGGTATAGTCACCATGCTTGATTTGAATGAAGGTATCTTAGAATAACAGCTTGAAAGACCAGGTGACTGTGGAATTGGTGATAGTTTAGCTACAATGTAAATCTCAGGGTATACTTTTGAGATATAACCATTACAATTATTATTAGTATTCAAAGATATAAAGTACAACAACTTACTTGCATGATCACTTTTATATCCTTGTGGTACCACATCCACAACCTTTTTATATAGTGAAATATTTGATGGTAACATTTTGCCTAATTTAGCAGATGGCTGTGGAAATGTAGATAGTTTTACTATTTTAAAAATAAAATACAATTACAGCAAGTGTAAAAAATTATTTTTAATAACTGTTTTATTACAAAATACATACACATAACACTATTATTACTATTATTATGTAGGCTATTATTAGCTCCTGCTCTACTCTTCATAAAATTACTAATTAATGAACTTGTTTCTTCACGCAGCAGCCTTGTTCGTCAAGGTTTGTGTTTCAGAGTTATGAAGTTGAGAGAGGGTTGAAACTACAAGTAGCCTCTTCGATTGTAGTGGTCATCTCAGCCTTTAGGGAGGTGAATTAACATAAAAAATAGATATTCTTACTTTCTGTATTAATACCAACATCAACTTCTTCCTCGCCTGAAAAAAACAAAGTGTTTTACTAGAGCTGTATTAAAGTAGTGGTATTATATCCGAATAAATAACTTCAATTTTGATTAAAATAATGCAAAATTATAGATTGATAATAAGTTTTAAATATTATATTTTATATATTATTTGTCAGTTTTTGTATATTTCACATATGTTATTATTTTCAGTTTATATATTCTATTTACTATTTATATGAGTATTAACAAATTAAAGTAAAACCTTCAAAAAAAGTTATACAAGCAGTACGCTTGCGCTTTTTTGAAACTTGCTGATTATCTTCTTCAGTTTCTGTAGTTAAATCATAATTATTACAATCCTCGTAGCAATCTGTAAAAGAAATAAGAAAACATTTAATTTATCCAAAGAAGTTATTGACAAATAAATTCTTTTAACAAGTAATGACTAAATTCTTTAACATTTTGCGAATGTAAATTATGAAGCTGTTGTCAAAAAATAAATACAAAACCTGAAGTAATTTTTATTTTTATTAATTAAAAAAGTCGCCAATTTTCATTAGGTTCTACTCCTTCTTTCATTAATTTAAACGCATTCCTTTTGGATGGGGGCCACATAACTACTTTTCCCCGCACCCATGCGGATGGCAAGACTCCTTCTTCCTCACGATTTTCTTCCAACCAAACAGCCCGGTGATATGACATTTTACTAAAATGTTAATACTCTTTTTATTGTAGGTACATCAACACATAACATAAACTTGTAACTAAACTTGTTTAACAGTGTTTAATATAAGTTTAGTCGTTTACAAATACAAATTTATTATTTTACTAATACATATAAATAGTAGTTTAATTATTGTTATTATTACTTGTTTCAGCTAAACAAGACACCAATAGAAGTTATTATCAGAGGAGATGGTTATGAAAATTTCTATATTAATTACTCTTTAAAATTTTAAGAATAATATCTAAAATTATTTAGATTTACATTAAAAGTAAACAAAATCGAAACAAAAATTAAAAAAAAATTAAAACATTAAAACATAGGAAAATAAAATCACAACTTAATATACTTAAAATAAATTTACAATAACTTACACCAAATGAAAATATTAATAAAAAAAGAAGCTATAATAACTCGTTGATTAACTACGAATATGCCTAATCTAGCATACTCCCTTTCGTTCGCATCGAAATGGATGGGGATGTCCTAAACCAAGTGCTTAGAAATGCTGTCTATTACATATTTTTAAACATTTTCCTTCAACAAGACAATAAAAACTTTTTTCTTATAGAAAAAGAAATAAGATCAAAATATTTCAAATATCCAAGGATTACAAAAGGAATAAAAAAAATCTCCAAGAAAAACCAAAATTTATACAACAACCATTTAAAAAATAGGAATCAAAAAAATCCTACGATCAATAAACAATAAAAAAATCTTATTAAAAAAATCAAAAAATCTATTAAAAGTTATATTTTTCAATATAATTACTAAAACATAGTAATTGTATTAAAACAACATAGGATATTACAAACGAAATTTTTTGTAAAACTAAGATAGAAACAAAAACTTCGCCTTCCAGCATCAAAAAAAGTGGATTCGAATAGTCATATAAAAATCTCCAAAAAATTTATTAATTTTTTGTTACTGTTGGTCCAAGCCTAGCATCACAAATAGATAATTCAACAAATCATTTTATAACTATTTTACTGTTTATACTAGCTTACATCCTGAAAATGATCAAAAGTTAGAGGAACTCGATAAAGCAAAAAAATCATTAACAAAAACAAAGCTCCAGGCATCGGTGATATTTCCAGCAATGTAGTAATAAATATCATACATTGTCCCAAAAAAAATTAAAGATAGCTAAAATTTTACCAATATCTAAAACTAGAGAAACACGGCATAACTAACAAAGTAAAGACCCATCTTAATTCTTCCAGTATTCACTATGCTTGTTAAACAAATATTCTTTAATAGACTCTTAAACATCTAACAGAAAACAAAATCTTTAAGTCATTTTTAGAACGGTTTCCTAACAAATCATTCAACGGAAAATGCAATTGTAAACCTCCTGAATAATATCACCTCATCTTTTGATAAAGGACAGTTTATATTGGGGGTCTTTATTGTTCTTACAAAAGCATTTGATACAAATCAATCATAAAACTATGATTGAAAAAGTTAATGAATATGGTAAAAAAAAATTTTAAGTGATTCACTGGTTATATAAATAATAGGCAATACAGTTTCATAATCAAAGATATTTCTTATAGATGGTTCAAAGCTATTCAAAACAACTGGCTCTATATCTTATACTGCTGAGTTAGGTGAGCATAATGATGTCATACTCACCTAATGTCAAATAGCCTGCTGCCAGGGGCTTCAGTACATACATCGACTGACAAATAGACTGACTCGCCGTGGAGTGCTGCTACATCGACTGAGGGTTTGGGGTGAGTCAGCAACATTTTCATTCATTATTCTTCGTTTTCCCTCATCGTTTTCTAAAAATGCTCACTTAATTTAGGCTAGCAAAAAAAGTGAGCAATTAGGCATATAAATATGCTATAGTAGATATATATATAAATATATATATATATATATATATATATATATATATATATATATATATATATATATATATATATATATATATATATATATATATATATATATATATATATATATATATATATATATATATATATATATATATATATATATATATATATAATACGTATATACCCTAGTAGCAAACAATATTGGCGCAATATTGGGGCGATATTGTTTACAATATTGGCGCAATATTGTCAACTATATCGGGCCAATGTTGCAATGTGAACATTTTGCCAATATTGGCGCTACAATATTGCGCCAATATTATAAAGTCAATATTGGCCAATATTGGCAATACAATATTGCACCAATACTGTAAAGTCAATATTGGCCAATATTGGCAAAATGTTCACACTGCAACATTGGCCCAATATAGTTTTCAATATTGCGCCAATATTGTTAATAATATCGCGTCATTAATGGGGATATTATACTGACCATTATCGGCCTAATATAGTTTACAATATTATCCTGATATATATAATATATATAACTAAAATAAGGCAATATATTGAATATTTCAATTAGTTTTTTTTTTAAAATACAAACGTTTAAAATACCAATATAAAAGAGAAAAACTACATTTTAAAAAGTTAAAGGTAAATATAAAGTACGCGAACAATCTAAGAAGACCTCAAGGTCTTGTCAAAAAGAACCGCTGTAGAAATTTAGATTTCTTTTATTATAGCTTTAAGTTACTCACTTAAAGGTGCTTGCAAAGAAATTAGATTCTTAGAAATAAGAATCAATACCATAAAGATTAAAATCTTGATCTTTATGGTATTGATAAATATTATTCAAATACTTGTAATTTAATTTCATGTTCTTTTTATGTAATGTAATATCATGTTCTTTTATCGTCTGTAATACTCTTAACTCATCTGTGATACATCTCCACAATTCTGGTATAAAGGTTTATGAATATGCACAAATACATACAAACGCACACAGAACACCCGATACATACATACATAAATACATACATACCTACATGCATACATACATACATACATACATACATACATACATACATACATACATACATACATACATACATACATACATACATACATACATACATACATACATACATACATACATACATACATACATACATACATACATACATACATACATACATACATACATACATACATACATACATACATACATACATACATACATACATACATACATACATACATACATACATACATACATAATACATGGAAACATACATAACACATGGATAAAATAATATTCTTATACATTTTTTTATACTTATAAAGATCTAAATAATCTAATGAAAATATATTTACTTAGAAATGGGATTTTTTTTTTATACCTTTCTATAGTAAATAAATATTAAAAGCAGTCATATAAAAATCCGCAAAACCATTTTTGAAAACCGACGGTTTTATCAGTTTTGACAAAAAACCGCTGCTTTCGGTTTTTGGTTAAAACTGATTGGAAACCCTAATTCTAACTGAATTTTCTTTTAAAACCTCATCCACAGCTTGTACAGGGCCTTTAAACTTGTCTGCACATTTGAATAAATTCTAAAAATATGTAACAACTATATACCTAGTATGTTGATATTTTTACTAAATACAGGTCAAAACCTTTATTTCCCAGTCTGTGTGTTATTTAAATAATGCAAATAAAAGTAATTGAATTAATTAAAATACTAAGTTAGGTAAACAAACTGGCGTGTTCTGGTCTTCTTTGTTACTATTTTTAACTTTCTCATCCTGAAATAAAAACATTTTAGTTTATATTTCAATAAAAAAATTTATATGAGAAAAATTTTTTTAAACAAAATTGAAAAAATTAAAAACTGCAATTAATTTTTTTTAAAAACCTTATCTATGGCAAGTACAGGACCATTAAACTCATCTGCACATTTAAACAAATTCTAAAAATATAATTAACAACTATATACCTATTATGAAGATATTTTATTTAAATACTGGTCAAAACCTTTATTTCTCAGTCTGTGTCAATAATACAATAAGTTGATTATTTATAAATAAGAGTCAATAATTCATTTGTGTTTTAAATATAATTCTGCCTAAACACCTAAGGCATATTTAAACAAAAGTGTTTTAAATTCTGTTTCTATTAAGTCTTAATCTAAATTATGTAAATAAAATTAATTGAATTAATTTAAATACTAAGTTAGGTAAGCAAACTGGTGTGATCTGGTCTTATTCATTACTAGTTTCAACATTCTCATTCTGAAATAAAAAAATACTTGTGTATATTTTTATAAAGAATTTTTAGATGTTGGTACACTAAAATGCTGAAAAATAAGGTTAAAATAAAAATCAATGATCTAAAATAAGCTTTAACAGGGCTAAAAACAGAGCTTTTCACAAACCCGAACCCGGCTAAACAAACACAATTTGCAGGGGTACTGGCCCGGGTCAGATTTTTTATTTTTATTTATCTTTTTTAAATATTTTTAATTATTTTGTTCAAATTTTTAATAAAAGTTAACAAAAATATATGAAAAAGTCATACAAATACTTATATGTTATTTATCATATATATACTTATATGTTATTTCTCTTATTTATATACTTAGGACAAAATAATTCATAAAAATTTACAATAGAAAATAACAAACAAGAGAGGGGGTTAATTTTCCGTCCCACCTTAGGAATTATTAAAAAAATTTCAGTTTTTAGTAGCCCCCCCTTCCTTTAATGATGGAGAAAATGCCCTAAAACATTTAGGAGCTCAGCATTAAGATAATGATGATGATGTTGATAATGATGATGATCATAATGATGATGAATACTATGATTTAAAAACTAAAAACTTATAAACTATATCATAAACTAAAAATTGGTCAATTTTTTACATTCTATAAAAATATAGTTTTAAAACCTTTTGATAAAAAATAATTTCCAAAATTTAGGTGAGAATGCATGTATTTAACATGTATTTAACTAATTGTTTTAAAAAAATGATGATAAAATAGAAACAATTTATCAAAGGGGCCATCCATAATGTACGTACACAGTATGACCACTGGTTTAGGATCCCCTCCCCCTTGTACAAACCTGTACGCTTTCGAAGACCTCCGCCTACGTACGCAACTTTTTTACAAATTAATGTACAAAACAGAATTTAAAAAAAAGTAACTAAAAAAAAGTTTGCTTTTATTTGATATCTTTTTGCCTCTCATATCACTACCAATCAAATTATATCGCAAAAAAAAAAAAATTTATTTGGAACCATTATCTCTCAATTTCTTTTTTTCTCCCCTCATTTTTATATAAAAATTTAAAAAAACACAATACTGATTTGTTACACACATAAAATTCAATGTTATAAAAAGAATAAAAAATAAAATCAAGTTTAGGAGAGATAGTCAAACCGGATACGTACTCACTGTCTTTAACACCATTTCCCTCTTGTAGACATTCACATGCCTTTGGATAAAGCTCCCCCTCACCCATACCTGCCTATGTATTTAATGTTTGGCCCCAAAACTTGAAAGTGAAAAATTAAAAAATTAAAAAACAAAAAAAAAAAAAATCATACCTGGAACTTTAAACATTTAGCATTTTCATTAGATCTAAAAAATAAAACATTTTATAACATATCAAAACATTAAAACGAAGTATTTATGATTATATATTAACTATATATAATATTTCATAGGTTATATAAAATAATTGAAAAAATATATATAAATTTATATTAAAGTTACTTAAATAAAGGCTCTTTTAACATTTCAAACACTTCTTCGTTGCTGGAATCTTTTAATGACATACTCTAAAGTTCAAAAGCCATATGACTACAAAATAATTAAACAAATAAGTGACTTACAAAGCTATAATGAATAATGAAGTTATATAAGTTTCATTAAGTACTTGAAATAATTTAAATACCGTTACTATTTCTTTTAATCTACCAATAATCTAAAAATTAATAACTTTTTTAAAAAAAGAAAAAAAAAAATCATTATTTATAAGTTCATAAGTATATAATCTTGACTACATATATACAAACCTCGGTATTAGAAAAACTATATTTGGCAAAAATTGCAGACCTTACACTGTTTTAGGTTGGCATCAGGTTAGCAAATTCATTTATTGACAAACTTTGTACTTATAAACTTTACCAGGTGAACCTTTATGACAAAGGTTTCACCATTAAAAATATACTGATAACATATACAGTTAGGTTGGAATCGCTGAACCTAATTTAGAGGGCAGTTTATATAAATATATACATATATATATATATATATATATATATATATATATATATATATATATATATATATATATATATATATATATATATATATATATGTATATATATATATATATATATATATATATAAATATATATATATATATATATATATACATATACATATACATATACATATACATGTATATATATATATATATATATATATATATATATATATATATATATATATATATATATATATATATATATATATATATATATATATGTATATATATATATATATATATATACATATATATATATTTATATATATATGTATATATGTATATATGTATATATATATATATATATATATATTTATATATATATATATACATATATTTATTTATTTGTATATATATATATATATATATATATATATATATATATATATATATATATATATATATATATATATATATATATATATATATATATATATATATATATATATATATATATATATATATATAATGATTAAATCAGAAAACTGCTTTTATATTTATTTAGAAAAAACAAAAGAGAAATATGTTACAAATACATACCAATGTATGTTTTTGTAACATATTTCAAAGTGCAAAGTTATTTATTTTTATTTTGAAATTTCAAAATCTTGAATCAAAAAGTTAAAGATACCTGGACACAAGTTAATCGTAATTCTGGATCATTGCACCATCCTCCAACAATTGTTTCAACAAGATGTCTTGTGTCAGACTCCAAATATATTTTATAAATAAGACTTGTATCTGGTCTTTCTCCTTTTTCAAGAGCTTGAGTTAAAAAAATATCTTTATAAATAGAAAAGTGATTTTGCAATGGTGAGTCTAATCCTGACATAATTTCAAAAAAAGATAATGACATGGCATAAACATCTGACTCTTTAGTGACAATATTTACAGTTCGATTGCAAATTTCAGGAGAAAGATAAGCTATAGTTAAACCAGCAAATCCAGCTTTTACCTTAGTCTTTGTTGCCATTGTTTCCTTCATTATAGCAAGGTCACAAAAATCAGAAAGTTTGATCACTATTTTACTTAAAGTGCCCTGAACTAAAATATTTATATATTTATTTTTGAATCGATTTGACATATAAAACATTTTTGATTTAGGGAATTGATGTTTATAAAGTTTACAAGCAACAACCTTCTTTTTATGAGAAAATTTATAAACTTTAGCAAATGAACCTTCACCAATAAATGCATCTTCAGACATGTGTAGAGGTAGCTCTACAATAAACTCACTGTTTTCTTTTTCAATCTGATTTAAGCTTTTAGATTTAAGAAGACTGAAGTTTGCCATTTTTAAAATTAACTAGTAATAAAATGTTAGCGCATTTAAAAATAAACAAAATAGTTTTAGAAGAGCGAAAAATTACCGGTAACGAAAAGAGTAAGTTATGTAAGTCAATAAAGTTGTTAATTTATTTATAATTTAAGGTTATTATCACTAAAATTAAATATATCATGTGTAAAAACATTATTAACATATAAATCTTACAATTCCTTAAAGGGTTCAATAACGATGGATTTTACGAAAAATATGTGTAAGTGTAAAAAATACAAACACCAACTTATCGGCTCAATAAAATTCGGACTACTGTGAGGATATAGAAACGATAATGATGCAAAAAAAGTTAAAAAAATTATCGAACCACTTGAATGAGCCGATAAAAAAAAAAGAGCCGATAAGGAGTCGCGTAAAGTAGTGCGCGGTTCGGTAAGGCGGTATTAGTTCTTCCATACATACATACATACATACATACATACATACATGCATACATACATACATACATACATACATACATACATACATACATACATACATACATACATACATACATACATACATACATACATACATACATACATACATACATACATACATACATACATGCATACATACATACATACATACATACATACATATATAAATTTCTTCCAAAAACACCGCTTTATCAAACCAGGCAATTTTTAATATATTTTAATTATATAAGCTTGTTTTAAATTTTTATAATAAAGTAAGCTTCAAAAAATTATTTGGTGGATTTTTATATTTTAAACTTCTATTTGTCTAAGGCCGATAAGTTGTTATAATAGAATTTTTAAAAGCATGACTTCACCAATACCGCGTCAGGAAAAACTATATCATAAGTTTTCAATAACTTGTCCTTAACGGATATTAATTTAACATATTAAAAAAACTATTCTAAAAATTTGGAAGATTTTGAAACAAGTTTTTAAGAACTTGATTAAAATAATTAGTTTTAGGTTTGTTTTTTGTGCAGTTTTGTTTAGTGTTGATTATTTATAACTCATGTACAGTGTTACTTTGTATTAATTAGAAAACTATTACGACAGGAGACAGGGTTATAATAAATAAAAAATAAGAAGAGATATGTTTTTATTTATCGTTTAAAAAGTCTACTAAAAATAAAATTACAAATGAAAATAATCAAATATTTCCCAAAGATATTTAAAGTTATTATTATATTAAATAACTACGTCAAATCCGTATAAACTGATTTTAAATTTATATCAATAAATGATTACTACTCTACATGATAACTTTATTACGATATATTTCATAACTTATTGATTCTGATTGAACAAAAGCTCTCACAAAAGCAAAACGTTGTATTTAGCTGTTTCACCTATGGATATGAATAAGGAAGAGTAGGGAGAGGTGGGACGCGGGGGAAGTGTGGCTGTCTGAAATTTATAATTAAGAATATTTAATGTAAACAATTAAATTTCTTCCTCTCGATTTAGCAGAGATTAAATTGTTTCCTTGCGTGCGCTAGAAGCCCTAATTTGAAATTTCGCCTAAAAAAGTTTTTGTTGAAGTAGGACAAAAAAAAGTGTTTGTTCCCCGCTTCCCAGTGGGCATTTTAACGTCGAACGAACGTCGAGCGACGTCGGATATTGACGTCGGAACGACGTTGGGTTTACGTTGGAAATGGAAATGTTATTTGACGTCGGATAAACTGACATCGCGCGACGTCGGCATTCCGATGTAAATCCAACGTGTTTTTTGAAAACTAATAAAATGTTGCCTTTGGCAGGAATTGAACCTCGGTCTATTAGATACTAAGTCCTGTGCGCTTACCACTACACCACAAGGACATATTAACTGTTGAGTTTATTAAGTAATTTATACTTGTAGCTATTTGGGAATTATTACTTTGATAAGAAATAACTTTGTTTAAATATTATATAAATATTAAAACGAATAGTTATGTATTATAAAAAATGTATACTCGAAAATGTTAATAGTTAAAAAACTATGCTAGTGCATCATACAAAACCTCATGATGTTTTATCAACCTTCATTCAAACTTTTTTCCATTAATAAAAAAACACGCTTAGTTCACATAATTATTGAAGAGCGCAATTGCACACATATTGTTGGGTTTGGATTAAATTTTCATCAGCGATGTCTTACGACGTTGTTCCGACGTCGTTTTAAGGACGTTGGATTGACGTCGGAAGACGTCAAAAGACATCGGAGTACGTTAATATTATGACGTTGCCCGACGTCTTTTTATCGACGTTGGATCGATGTCAGTACTGCGACGTTTTTTGGACGTCTTTTATAAGATGTCGGAACAACGTCAAAATACATCGAAACGACGTCAGGGGATGTTGAGATAAAGACATCGCCCGACGTCATTTTACTGACATCGGAACAACGTCGGAATAGGTCTTTTGACATCGCTGATGAAAATCAAACGTAAATCCGACGTCGGATTGACGTCGGGTGCCCACTGGAATCCTTCCGTTGCCATTTGATTATTTTGATTAAAGAAAGCTCTTAAATATTTTTATATCGATTAGGTGGTTTTATGATTTATCAGTTTATAATAATTTATTTGCGATAAAAAGTAGCTTTAAAATTACTTGTTCAACTTCGGCTCACACTTGTCCTACTTTACCTCAATGACACGGTTTCTCTAAAAGCAAAAGTTTACTTACTTAATTACAATTTGCTGGAAGCCTAAGGGAATTGAGTCAGTGCCTATAATAAAAGTTTTTTCGTAAAAACTCGTTTGGTACAGTTTTAGGCATCAAATAAAAAAAGATATTGCAATTATCCTAAAAAAAAATTTACGTGTCTCACTTCTCCTTACTCAATATATGATAGAAAATAAATTCATTTCCATCGTAAAAATTGAAACAGTCCAATTATTTGCTTTAACTTATACATAGGTATGTATTTTCTTATTTATTGTTAAATCAATTTATCAATACTTCTTTTTTTTTACTTTTTTAAATGATTTTAAACATCATTTGACACCACCGTCATTATATTGTCTCCTCATTCGCAAGACTGTTTTTCTTATGTCTTTATCAATATCCATCTTCTGATATTATTGTTTATTTAATCCTTATCATATTGATAAGAATGATTAATAAAGCAACAATATAGTTTGGCTCAAATGGTTGTAAAACTGCTTTAACTGAAGGTGGAAACCTTTTTTGATCATATTCAATACCAGTTTGTTTTTCACAATTAGGTATTGATCATATTTTTATTTCTAAAAATATATATATTTTTTTTCGTACATCTAGTACGCAGAAAAACATAAATATTTTCAGCATAGTATCAGCAGGGATAGAAAATTAACTGAGTAGTTAATTTTCTCTCCTTGCTGATATCAGCCTTTGTACCCTTGGAATAGCGGTTCAAGTCATGACTTCAGACTTGGAGATCAGTAGTTTAAAACTAGCTCTCGCGAAATATGCATTATTTGTATGAAAATGTGAATTTCATTCTCAGTTGCTCTGTTAAATAAATGGTTAGGAGTTGAAAAATACAAAAAGCATATTACATTAAAATAAAAGTTCTTTTTGTCAAGCCTTTTGGATTCAGGGTTACATGGAAACTAAAGCCCAGTGGACATTTCGACGTCGAACGAACGTCGAGCGACGTCGGATCTCGACGTCGGATCGACGTTGGGTTTACGTTGGAAATGGAAATGTTATTTGACGTCGGATAAACTGACATCGCGCGACGTCGGCATTCCGATGTAAATCCAACGTGTTTTTTGAAAACTATAAAACGTTGCCTTTGGTAGGAATCGAACCTTGGTCTATTAGATACTAAATCCTACGCGCTTACCACTACACCACAGGGACATATAAGTTGATGTGTTTATTTAGTAATGTATACTTGTAGCTATTTGGGAATTATTACTTTGATAAGAAATAATTTTGATTAAATATTATATAAATATTAAAACGAATAGTTATATATTATAAAAAATGTATACTCGAAAATGTTAATAGTTAAAAAACTATGCTAGTGCATCATACAAAACCTCATGATGTTTTTTCAACTATTATTCAAACTTTTTTCCATTATTAAATAAACACGCTTAGTTCACATAATTATTGAAGAGCGCAATTGCACACATATTGTTGGGTTTGGATTAAATTTTCATCAGTGATGTCTTACAACGTTGTTCCGACGTCGTTTTAAGGACGTTGGATTGACGTCGGAAGACGTCAAAAGATATTGGAGTACGTTATATTATGACGTTGCCCGACGTCTTTTTATCGACGTTGGATCGATGTCAGTACTGCGACGTTTTTTGGACGTCTTTTATAAGATGTCGGAACAACGTCAAAATACATCGAAACGACGTCAGGGGATGTTGAGATAAAGACATCGCCCGACGTCAATTTACTGACATCGGAATAACGTCGGAATAGGTCTTTTGACATCGCTGATGAAAATTGTACGTAAATCCGACGTCGGATTGACGTCGGGTGCCCACTGGGAGCTTGCTAATATTAGTATATTAAAATTTATATTTCATTTATGAAAATAAATTCGGAGTATTTTAAATAGTGAGAATAAAAATGTAATTTTCCTACTTCACTTCTTTTGCATTCATTATTTTATCTTTTATCAGATTTTGTTAATATGATTTCATTTACAGCATGTGATTAAGAAAAAACGTTTTACGGAGCTTTAATTTTAAATTATTTTACATGCACTTTTTAGTGACTAGGAAACGCCATTAATTAATGAAAAGTAGTTTTTAATTATGAATAATTATATTGCTGCTAAACATTAGGGCTGTTGCCCTTGAATGTTCTAATGTTGTTGATACAAGATGAAACGCTTGTAATCACCACAAGTCATCTACATATGTATTCAAAACTATTTAAAGTTTAAAATTTTATTTTTACCAAATGAAATCAAGCACGTATCGTTGGTGAGCTTCACATTCAGGTGCTTAAAAAAATTTCTATATTTGGTTTTAAAATAATTTAATTCTATATCCTTACAACCTAACAGTACTGGTGTTTCAATATGATGAAAAAAAAATTATTGTATTGATAAAAATTTAACAATCTCAAATCCTTTACTAAAGAAACACTGGCCATTTTACACTCTGGCTATCAATCTTACTTAGAAGTTCATATTAATTAAGAAAAATATTTATATTAATAACCATAAAAATAATCTTATTAATTAAAAAAAATCTGATATTAAAATGCAACATACCTACGTTTGTCAATAATGCATAAAAATTGAAACCATGAAAAAATATTGCGTTAAAACATTATTTGCTGACTATCGTTTGTACGCGAGATTCGGTAATGCATCAAAATTGAGAGCTAAATCAAAAAGTATGTGTATATCAGCTAATCATCATAATTTTAAACCAAAAAATCTTTTGAATTAGTAAATTTCTTACCCTTAAACTTGTTTAGTAGCTCATATTATCTATATAAAGAAAAAATTAATTTTAAAATGCCACATACCTATGTGTATCAATAACGCCTAAAAATTAAAAACCATCGAAAAAAATCGCCTAAAAACTTTATTTGCCGACTATCGTTTGTAAGCGCAATTCGGTAATGCATTAAAATTTAGAGCTAAATCAAAAACTATGTTGACTTCAAAATTATTTAGACGTTTTTATTAAATTTATTATCTACATAGGTTCAACCCTAAGTATGTCAATAATGCATAAAAGTTGGAACTAAGTAAAAAAAGGCGTACAAAATTAAATTACCATCGTAAGTAAGCAAAGTTGGGTAATGCCTTATAACTGTTAGAAATATAAATTTATTTTTATTAAAGTTTCGCAAAACTTTTTATTTTAAAAATCAAGTTTAATGGTTATTTTATAGTTTTTTAACTCATTTGGTAAGTCAGATAAACTCCGTATATAAAAAATCTACCCCAACGGGCATTTGTTGGTTTAAAATTGGTTTAGACCACGTTTAGATGGCATTTACATCGATCTAAACGTTTAGGAATCTATTCTAAACGTGTTCTGAATATTTAACTTGCGTTGAAAAGCTAAATCAAACATTTTCCGTACGAAACTAACTTAATTAAATAGTTTCATACAAAAAGTGTCGGATATTTTGAATCTTTTATTATAATTAAAAATTAGAGTTTCTTATTATTCTTTAATTATGTAATAAATGGTTTAGAAAAGATAAAAGAAATTTGTTTTTAGTATTATACTGTGGCTAATGAAGGAGTTAAAAAATCCTGTAAGTTCATCAATAATATTGTATGAGCGATTAAAAGTAATTTTAAGCACAGTAACAATGTATTTTGATATTTCTTTTTTTTTAGTTATAGCTACTAAATTAGCAGTTTCAAAAAAGTAGCAGTAGTTTCAAAAAAGTAGCAGTGTTAGCATTTTTTAAAACTATTTCTTAAATTATTTTTTCTGTTTGGTTATTAACAACGCTAAAACAGTTAATACTTAAAATGCATAAACTTTCTCTAAAAGTTTTAGAGGAAAATTATGCATTTTAAGTCGTAACTACTTTTTAAATAACTAAACAAAATTATTTTTTTTTTTTTGTATTTGGACCTAACATCTATTCGTTTATGATTGATGTTATATTGATCAAATAGCAATGTTATAATATTTTATAATACTTTTAGTGCAGTCAGTGCCAATTATAATTTGTGAGGTTGAAATATTTATATAATGGATCTTCAGTTTTAGTAAAGGCTTTTAATGTAAACTAAAAAATATTTTGAACAATTTTAGTATTATTCATACTCCTATATGATAACCACTAAAGAGAAAATAAATTTACTTATGTCTGATATGATAGATTATTATATTGTATCATTTATTTTCTCTTTATTAGAAAAGTTAACATGGTTTGAACAATAATATATATAGCTATATTACATAGTTTTCTGAAATCCGCATAAATATTTTTTTTATTTTTGAATAAGTTTTGTCTGTTTAATTTCATTTAATATTTTATATACAGTCCAGTCAGTTGCAACAACAATTAAAGCAGCAGGAAACAGCCAACTACACATGCAAGTGGTAAATTGGTTTTTTGTGACGTTTTTACTCCTTTAAAAAATAGTTTTTCCTAAAATAATAAATAAGTTAATGGCTATTTCTGTAAAGATTTTCTGTAAATTAAAACTGCAGTGGTTTTCAAAACTAATAGTTATTCTTTTAGAAATCACAAGATAAAGTGCTAACTCTGTACCTTTAGATATGATTCTAATAGTTGAACATCTTTCAGATATTTGCCTTTTAAATCATAATCTAATTGCTCAAGCTCCTGAAAAGCTATGTATAAAAATTCAATGCTTAAAAATTAATGTAAGATTGAAGGTAATTCATGTTATATTGAATAAATACGTTGATGATTGGTTCGAGTCTTTAAAGTTTAAATTAGTTAAAAGAGAGTTCAAATTGTTCTGTTTTTATCTTATGCTCTATATCTAAAAGTTATTAAAATATTTATAGCATTATTTTTTATTTATTTTAATATGTTATGAAAGACCTACCAAACTTGAAATTTTAACGGGTTGAAATATATAGTATGTATATGTATACCATCTCTCGGAATTAGGAAAATTAAAGTCAGCAAAAAAAGCTAAAAAACTAGACGACTAAACTTATTTAAAACACTTTTAACAAGTTTAGTTACAAGTTAATGTTATGTGTTGATGTACCTTCAACCAAATTAGTGTTAACATTGTAGCAAAATGTCATATCGCCAGTCTGTTTGGTTGAAAGAACTTTGATATTTTATTGAATTGTTATTTTAGTTTGTAATATTATAATTTTTATTCACAAAATGTTAAAAGATTTACTTTTTAAATTTATTTGTCATTGCTTCGGATAAGATGTTTTGTTATTCCTTTTACAGATTGTAATGAGGATTCCAAAAGTTTTAAATATCAGAAACTGAAGAAGACATTGATAATCAGCAGATATCAAAAAAGCGCAAAAGTACTGATTATACAACTCTTTTAAAGGTTTCATTTTAATTTGTTAATGTTTGTATAGAAACTAATAATAAATAAACTGAAAATAATAACATATAATTAATTCATAATTGTGCATTATTCTGATCTAAATAATTTTTTTTTTTAATTTCTTCAGAGTTAATATTACTAGTTTAATACAATTACAGTAGAAATGGTTAATTATGGAAAAACTGCACTAAAAATTGAATAAATCGCTTGTTTAAGCAAATAACATTTTATCAATTATAGTTTGCTCTAATTTTTGTGTAAAAAAAAAGAAGCAAGTTTTAATTAGAAAATGATTAATAATTTTTATGGTTTAGTAAAACAGATTTTATTTTTCAGTAGAGGAATAGTTTTATGTTAATGTTAATGCAAAAGGTACAAATATTGACAGGTTAGCTAATTTGATGTTACAATAAACATGCTAATTTGATGTTACAATAAATTTTGTAAAGACCTTAATGCCAAAAATACTTGCATTCATTATTCATGCGTGCTATAGTATAATATAGCATACATGCATGATGCATTCAAGTATAAAACAAAAGTTACAAACGTTTAATTATACAAAAAGATTATAGATGTGGTATCGCAAGTATATTCAATTGATTATGCAAGTAAGTTATCCTACTTTACATCTTTGAAGACTAATAACAATTGTAATGAACGTGTCTCAGACAATATACACTCGGATTTATATTTTAGTTAAACCATCACCACTTCCACAGCCACCTTAATTCAAATTAAGTGTGACAACTTTACCAAAAGACTCTAGAATGGACCATTCAAGTAAGATGTCTAAATCTATATCTTTTATATAAAACTCCTTTACTATTAGATAAACTTGTTAATTTTATGACTTATGAACATATTTAGCAATATAATTCTTTTAGGATAGACTTTTTAAAATCAAGTTTACAATGTTTTAATAAATTTTTATTTAAAATAACCTTGTATATATAATATATCTATATAGTTATTTATATTGTAGCTAACCCATCAGTAATTGCAAAGTTTCTCCTTTTCTGTAAGCCCGAAAATTGAGTTCTAAAATACCCTTATCCACATAACTACTATATCAGCGCACAAATTAATGGTTTGATCAAGTAATACTTAATTTTTACCTTGAATTGCGTGGTAGTACATATATATGATTTTGATATATAAATTTTAACTATTATGTTTGTTGATTAGTTTTTTAAACTTTAAGAGTTGTAAGAATTACAATTTTATTTTTACATGTTTAATTATATTGTAGTGAAACATTCGGTATCTCCACAACTTTTCAATTAAATAGAAAGTTTCAATTAAACAGGATACTGAGTGTGCCTACTGCTCTTCAAGACAATGGATAATGGGAGTTATAAAACTTTATATATATATATATATATATATATATATATATATATATATATATATATATATATATATATATATATATATATATATATATATATATATATATATATATCCATATCAAAAACAGCTTAAGAGACGAGGTAATTAAAATTGTATTCGTAAGAGACTTTTTTTAAATTAAAACGCTCTTTCGACTACACTATATGGGTATATATATATATATATATATATATATATATATATATATATATATATATATATATATATATATATATATATATATATATATATATATATATATATATACCCATATAGTGTAGTCGAAAGAGCGTTTTAATTTAAAAAAAGTCTCTTTCGACTACAATTTTAATTACCTCGTCTCTTAAGCTGTTTTTGATTTCATCGAAATGTCAAAGCAATTAATTTTTGCGGAAGTACATTAAATTGAATTGTTTTTTAAAAAATTTTTAAAAAACCGCAATTATAGCGACTAGAAAGTTTTTTTTAATTAGTTGTGTTTTTGTTTAAAGTTTAACGTCGCAAAGTTTGAAACGAAAGATTTAGATTTAAGTTCTAAATCGAAACTAAATTAAATCTAAACATTTAGAACGAACATTAACTTAACGTTGATTAAATGGTCGAATGCCCGTTGGGACTTGTAAAGTACCACATACTTACCTGTGTCAAAAATGCATTAAAATTGAAGCAAAGTAAACAAATGCGTAATAAATTTACCTGCCAACTATTGTAAGTAAGCAAGGCTCGGTAATGCATCAAAACAGTTAAAGTTATAAATTTTATTTTTATAGAAGTTTTCTGAAACTTATTTATATCAATATACATTTTAATGGTTTTTCTTCAGATTTTTAACTCATTTGGTAACTTCTATAAACTCCGAACGGAATAATAATCTACTTGGAAAATCAACTTAGAAAAAGCCACAATACTTCTTATTCTAATTGGAAACCTAAATCTAAATCTTGATCTACTTGGAAAAAGCCACATCCCAACGGGCATTTGTTGGTTTAAAATTGGTTTAGATCACGTTTAGATGGCATTTACGTCGATCTAAACGTTTAGGAATCTATTTTAAACGTGTTCTGAATATTTAATTTGCGTTTAGATGACATTTACGCCGTTCTAAACGATTAGGAATCAATTCTAAATGAGTTCTGAATATTTAGTTAGCGTTTAAGCGCTAAATCATGCCGGTTTCCGTTACTTCGATTAGCCCAGAAGGGATTTTGCACAGAATGAAACGGACATTTTGGATCTTTCATTATTGTTTAAAAATTTGAATTTCATATGAATATTAAATTATGTAGATAGTAGTTTAGAAAATTTAAAAGAAATTTGTGTAAACAAAAATTGAGTTAACGGATGTTTTAGGAGGATTAACTTTTTGATAATGACCTTTAGACATGCTTGTTTGTATATTAAAACATGCTTGTTACCATATTTAAAATCGTTATTTAGTCTGATTTTCTAATGGCATAAAAAACTATACTTAGACTGTTATTAAAATAGACTATTAGTCTATAATAATTTGCATAAATATCACAAAAATTTGAAAAAAGGTTTAGTTATGAAAGTTATTAAGATTGGTATTATTTAATTAAATTGAAGCAGTTTGTATTACAGAAAAAAGTGGTTTTACAAGATTTGAAATAGTTTGTATCAAACCAAGAAGTAGTTAAAAGATTGCAAAAGAGGTAAAATACAGATAAATAATAAGTTTCTTATTATAATTCTTATAGAATGTTATTCACATAATAGGTACTTGACTTGTAGGCTACATGAATATAAAAATATAAATATAGATTAAATCAAAATCAAAAAAGATTACAAAATCCTAATTCTGAAAAAAATGCATTTATCGCCCTTATTCTCTCAAGTACTTGAAACATTGTCAATGTAGTGCAAATAAATATTAAGTGTGAATCTCAACTACTTAAGAGAATAAGGGCTATAAATGCATTTTTTTCAGAATTAGGATTTTGTAATCTTTTTTGATTTTGATTTAATCTATATTTATATTTTTATATTCATGTAGCCTACAAGTCAAGTCCCTATTATGTGAATAACATTCTATAAGAATTATAATAAGAAACTTATTATTTATCTGTATTTTACCTCTTTTTTTAATAAGATTTTTTTATTGTGTATTGATCGTAGGATTTTTTTGATTCCTATTTTTTAAATGGTTGTTGTATAAATTTTGGTTTTTCTTGGAAATTTTTTTTATTCCTTTTGTAATCCTTGGATATTTGAAATATTTTGATCTTATTTCTTTTTCTATAAGAAAAAAGTTTTTATTGTCTTGTTGAAGGAAAATGTTTAAAAATATGTAATAGACAGCATTTCTAAGCACTTGGTTTAGGACATCCCCATCCATTTCGATGCGAACGAAAGGGAGTATGCTAGATTAGGCATAAAAACCATTTTCCGCTGTGGTAACTTAATGCTATTTAATTATTAACTAATAATATAAATGATAAAATTGTATTTAAGAGTTAAAAGTCGATCTAACAATTAAAGAGAACAATATTTTTGAGGGTGTCTCAGGAATCTTATATAACATAATTATTTTGAAAATGACGTTTGCAATAAAATTTATTTTGTTGGTTGACAAACAGCAAAAATTTATGCTTTACCTAAGATTGTACAAACTCATTAACGATTTTCTCTACCACTTTATAGACTAATTATTTCAACAATCGGGACATATATTTATAAACTTGCCAAATATTTTTCTCATTTATTGTCTCCTTATATACCTAAATCTTATTCAACCTGTGAGTCTTTTTTTTTTTTTGTTAAGGCATTGAAACAATTTGATATAACTAACAAATATACAGATTTTTATGATGTTGAAAGCATATTTACTAATATTCTACTTAATATAACTATAATTATAGCTAATGATTTATACTTAAAGGTGGTAGACTGCTAAAAAAGTTAGAAAAAAACGACTTTTCAAAAGTGGGATTGTTTTAAACAGTAACTGATGTAGAGTCTGAAAATATATAGATCTTCGTATGAGGAAAAAAAATTAGAACTAATAAAAGTGATTTATATTAGAAGGGTAATTTTGTTTCCCATAGCAACGCTCATAGCAACCGCTAGTTAAGGTTAGTAATAAAAAAAAAAATTAAAAAACAAAGAAAAAATCTTAAAGCAACTAGGAAAGGGTTTGATAAAAAGTACAAAAATTAAGAAAAGCAGTATATAAAAAAGGAGGATTTGAATAAGTTTGTATATTCAATATTTTTAATTTTATATGCTTTTTTCTCTGTTTTATTCTTCTAATTTTCTGGCAAAGATTTCAGGAGCTGTAATTTTCCAATTGACTTGAAATTTTGTACAGAGATTCTTTATAATAAGTTTTATGTCCTGAGATAAAAAAAATTCAGAATATAAACTTTTAAGACAACAAACTTTTTGTTCTTAATATCTAAAATTCGATTATTAATTGGGCGCTTTGAAAAATCTAACGATGCTTTAAAATAAAGAAATTTTCAACAAAAATTTTTATCTCAGGACATTTATCTACATAAAAAAAATACAAATACAAAAAATTAGAACTTAATAAATTATACTTTTTGAGATATCTTTGCCAAGATTTTAGCCTGTTTTTGGCCTAAAATCAACTGTTTTTGCCCAAAATATATATGAAAAAAAAATTAAAAATTATTAATTTTTTAATATATTTATCATGTTCGAAGTAAAAAAGTTTATTGAAATATTGTAAAATACAAAAATAATTTTTTAAGCAGTCTACCACCTTAATAATAAAAAGGCGTTTAAAATAATTTTCTAAAGCTCAGCTCAAAAACTTACTTTAAATCTTAACATCCGGATCTCATTTTTTATTATGATGGCGTTGCCAAGGGTTCTCCTTTAGCGCAAATTTTAGGTAATATTTTTTGGGTTTCACGAATAAAAATTGGTTTGCGATTCTCTTCCTCCATACATATTTTCTATTAACGTTATATGGATAATATTATCGCTATTTTTAATTCAGAGTTTGAGGCTCACGAACTTTTTACACATCATAACAAACAATATTTAGTTTAATGTAATATGCAAGTTTAGATGTTTTTTATAATAAAACTGTTTCGCTTTCCACATTAATTTATAACAACAATACATATACGGTTCTTTTATAAAAATTTTCCAGTTTTGTTTGCTATTGTTATAAAACTAATCTTACAAGTTTAATTGATAGAACGTATACAATCAACAACACATGGCTTGGATTTGAAAAAAAAAAAAGGAAATAAAAAATTTATCTAATATTTTAAAAAATAACCAAAATCCACCTAAAACAATTGAGAATGAAGTTAAATTATTTTTTGATAAAAAGTTAAATCTATCTGTGATAAATAGAGTTCATAACTCTAATATAATATATAATAAATTTCTTTTTAAAGGATTTTACTTAAATTTTACTAGATCTAAAATTAATAAATTCAATAAAAAATATTGCAAAGATATCATATTTAATTTAAATTTCACTTTAACAAATTACAAAATAGTTTATGTAAAAATAATCTACTTCCTAAGCTGCTCAATTCTATTTGTCTTCAAATTTTAAATTTATATTTATATCCAGAGGTTTAAATTGTAGTTTTATCTTTGGAAAATGTAAGATGTTAAAAACGAATCATTAAAAACTAATCTTCAGCAACGTAATAGCAAAAAATATGAACATATTTTAAAGAAAAGTATGATCCTTTTTTTAATATTGACATTAATATCTTCAGCAACGTAATAGCAAACAGTTCAGGAGTCTGGAGTCAAAGCATGCCATGACATGAGCAATCAGCTGATAGGTGACAACACACAGCCAGAATTTAGTTGACATGTGCCATTTTGTAGCTGACAAAACAAGTGCAACTCTTTAGGCTTGTTTCATTTTGTTAAGTCTGGTCTGTGTCAACGTCACGGAAGTTTTTTAATAATTAAAGTAAGTATCCAGAAGTTTCCAGACGATTCCAGAAGAAGCATCTGGAAACATCCAAACGCATCCAGAAGCTTCCAGAAGCATCAGAAAGAAGCATCTAGAAATGAACCTTCTACCAGAACAAGTTCACACAGGTTCGCTTTACTATATAAAAGACGTGTAAACCGACATGTAATTCAGTCAGTATATGGTCAAACAGTCAGTATTATCAAGACAGTTCATCGAAGTGTGTTTTACAAAAGTGTTTTATTAAAGAACATCAATGCAAAAAGTGAAAAGCAACAAGTGTTTCATTGCATCAATACAGTCCACATCCAACCAAGCCGTTTTAACACGATAAAGTAAATATAACACGCTAAACCTTTAGATGCGTGATTATTTATTTTTATTATTTTTATAACTTTAAGTGCAAAAATGGCTCCCGAAAGTCTTGGATCGGAACTAAGAAAGAAAACTATTTGCGATTACGTAAGTAAAATGTCACAAAAAAGTATTTGTGATAAATATCGCGTGAAAAAATGGACCGTATCAAGACTATGTTCCAAATATCGTTCTACGGGAAAATTGGCAGTAGATAACAAAGGTGGAAGACCGCGTTTCACCACTTCTAGAGAGGATTCTATGATCGTCAAATTCATCAAGAAGGATTGCTGGATATCATTATTCCAGATACAAATACAATTAGAGCTGCCAGTATTAACCCATCACCGATAGGTGATTTTAAGTCAACCACCTATCGGTGATGGATTGGCCGCCTAAATCTCCGGATCTCAATCTTATGGAGAACCTGTGGGAGATCGTCAACCGCAGAACTATTCGTGAAGGTGTTCGTAATAAGGATCAACTGTTTTTAAAATTCAAAAGGCCTGGGCAGAGATTCAACAAAGTTTCATTGATCACCTGATCAAATCTATGTTTCGAAGATGTAAGGCTTTGATCGACAATAAAGGATTCCCCACAAAATATTGATAGCAAAATACACCTTGGTCAACATTTTCTGGAGTTGCTCTTGTTTTGTTCTGAAGGAAATCAACTTTTTTAATACTTTGATTAATTTGATAATTTTTGTGTACAAATAATAAACTTTGTGATAAATAAAGCTTGAAGATCATTGTCTCTAAACAGTTACATAGTTAATTCTCTAAATTGAAAAAATGCAGCACTTTTATATAAAGAAACTAAGTTAGCATTATTTTCCACTTGTTTTGTCCGATACTGTTTCTATATATATATATATATATATATATATATATATATATATATATATATATATATATATATATATATATATATATATATATATATATATATATATATATATATATATATATATATATATATATATATATATATATATATATATAAGATAGATAGCTAAATATAGATATAGATAAAGATATATCAATATTTTCAAGTTTACTGCAAGAAAAGCACACAAACAAAAACTTCATACATTTTCATAATATAATATATTTAAAAAGCATAATAAATCTAAAAACTTTAAAACTAGAAATTATGCAAAAAAAGTTAATAAAGTGTTTGACAATCTCTATGTTATATAACTTTAAATATTGGTATTAAACATTCCATTTAAATCTTAGAAACCAGCTATTGGTAGTCAGGTTTTTGATGTGTAACCCATTATTGTTTCCTATAAAACAATTACATAATTTTATATATAAAAAACAAACATAGAAACATAATGTGTTAAAAAGTCTCTTACCCATCCACTGCTTTGTTCCATATGTTACATTAAGTTCCATATCTTCCTCAAAAGATTGTAATTTTGACCAATCAAGTTTGTTTATGATTTTAGTTTTAAAATCATCGTTTGTTACAACCAACCACTTTTTAAATACTTCATGAAACATTAAATACAACTTTTGGTTTCTGTGTATTGCATATAGTTGTTTATTTAAAACATGTCCAAGAATTGCTCCAATGCGCACATCTATTGCTTAAATTTTCATACATTATTTTTAATACAAATGATAAAAAACTAATCATTATAATAAAGCAACGGAGTACCTCAAAAAAATTTTTAAAATTTAACTTGAAAACAAAAAATTGCTAAAATAAACAAATAAAATCTATTTAGAAAAGTAAAAATAAAACATTAAACAATCATGTAAACCTTGCCAGTACAACCCATCATCTTTTGAAATGAAACATGCAGGTTTTTGTAAACTACAATAAATAAAAGTCTCACAATAATTTTTAGGTGTATAAATGCAATTAAAATTAGCTAAGTTTAAACAAATATCTAATACTTACGTTTTAATTTTATATATAACGTTATATAATTTAATAAGATCAAAATAATTACTTTGGAGAGAAATTAATATTTTGAGAGAATTTGTGAGTATTGTTTATCCCTTTTGTACACGGGCACATGTAATGTGTTTAAAAAATTTTTTTGTAATAAAAACTATGTACTAGACCTCCTTATGAGGTATGTACAGTTTTATAAAAACATTTCATCAATTTTTCAAAATAAGTAATGTGTACATTTTTGTAGACACTATAATATCAGAAGAAATCCTAAAAAAAACTCAAAAAGCTGAAGTAAATCAATACTTCATTTTATAACTTTTTATTTAAAGTATTCAATAATATTTATATTATGTAGCTAACTCACAACTTTTCCAAATCAATAAAAAAAAAGTAGAAAATATTTTTCTGTTTTTTATCGAGGAATTATTTCATGGGAAATAGTTGAAAACAGTTTTTGTCACCAGTGGTGCATTTTATTCTGCGACCATTGCATTCTTCTAACTTGCAGCACTATCCCAGTTCCTTGATGCATACAGGGAAATGGTCGAACTGGTATAGCGGATCTTCACAGCAGGTCTTTCTCCCGGTTTTGCCTGCTTAGGAGGAGGTGTAACCACAGAAGATGTTGATATTGACAAACCACCTGAGTCTGTGGTTGGTGCATTGCACCAATTCAAAAATACGCTTTTAATTTAATGTAAAAATACGCTAATTTAATGTAAAAATACGCTTTTAATTTAATGTAATTATTCTTGTTTTTAAATATTAATTTTTTTTTTTCTAGCTTTTCTTGCTTGTTTTCATTAATTTTTTCTTTTTTCTTATACTGTTTATTATTATATATACTTATTATTGTTTTTATTATTGTTATTATAATAGTTATTATTGCTACTAGTATTATTACTATTATTATTTTTATATATCTATATAGTTTGTTAGCTTAGTTACTATAGTTTTACTTATTAACTTATAATACTAAGCATAGACTTAATAGTTTATTATTATATTTTCCACTTATTATAACTATAATATTTTACTTATAATCATTTGTAATTTATTATTATTTTAATATAAATTGTTTTAATTTATACTTACAACTTATCATTTAAACAATTATAACTTTTTTTTAATATATATTTTCGTTATTCTTCTTTTACTATATTAATAGTATTTTTTCATTATTTATTTTAACTGTTAAATAAATATTATTTTTGTTTTACTATTTTATCAATTCAATTATATTTATATTGTTAATAAATACTATTATTATTTTTATTATTTTTGGTTATATTGCTGTTCATATTACTCTTTGTTTCCTTATTTCAGTTCATTCAATCATTTTATTATATAAACTGTACCACTTAAATGTCTACTCACTGCAAAGATTGCTTCAAGAAAATTAATAAAATCCATCACTACCTTCAATGTTATCATTGCGTAAACCTTTTTCATAAAAAATGTTGTCGTCTGAATGATATTAAATTTAGAATATTGAAAAACTCTAAAACATCTTGGTTCTGTATTTCATGTAGGGAAAAAATTTTTCCATTCAGTACTTTATCAGATAAGGAGCTGCACCTGCAAACAATAAATGATAAAGTGATTCATATTAATGAATTCGAAAACAACATATTATCTTTCCCAAACACCGTACAGCCTAATCTTTATAATGAACTTAATGATTTTATTTCCCATCAACTTAATAACATCAATGACAATGACGTAAACCTCGAAGAATACCCTATTAATTGTAAATATATGGACATAGAAAGTTTTAACTCTTCTAACATCGACAAAAATAATTTTTCTCTTTTTCATTTAAATATTGCTTCTCTTGTTAAAAATTTACACGAATTAAACTCACTTTTATCTCTTATTAATCATAAATTCAGTATTATTGGCATAACTGAAACTAAACTAAAACATGACATTTTACCAACTATCCCATTAAATCTTACCGGTTATGTTTATGAGCACACTCTAACAAAATCTTATTTTGGAGAAGCTTTACTTTATATATCGAATACATTAATTTACAAACTTCGAAATGACCTTAATATGCTTAAACCAAAACTTTTAGAATCTGTGTTTGTGGAAATCATAATTCCTAAAAAATCAAACATCATTATTGGCTGTATTTATCGCCATCCTAGTATGGATATTTCAGAATTTATTAAATCATATTTAATTCCACTTTTTGAAAAGCTATCTATGGAAAAAAACAAATCTACTTTTTTAATAGGCGATTTTAATGTCGATCTTTTATTAGCAAACTCAGATAATTCTGTCTCTGAATTTTTAGACACTATTGCTTTAAATAACTTTCTTCCCTTTATTTCATTGCCAACAAGAATCACAAATCACTCCAAAACTCTAATTGATAACATATTTTTTAATGCAACTTCTACAAATATTTTTGCCGGTAATTTTACTTCTACGGTATCAGATCATTTGCCCCAATTTTTAATACATCCTCTTTATAGAACCAAAATTAATTCTCGTAAAAGCTGCATTTTTCGTCGAAATCTAAAACAAATAAATTGCGTCGAGTAATGTAGTGATTTCTCAAAAATTAGCTGGATTAATGTAATCAATGTCAACGAAGGTAAGACTAATAAGTCATTTGAAGAGTTTTTCTCAAGTTTCAATTCTCTTTTAGATAAACATGCACCATTGAAAAAAGTCAGCAATCGTTGCTTATCAAGGGATCTCAAACCTTGGATAACACGAGGAATCTTGACTTCTATTAAAATGCGAAATAAAATATTTAAAAAACTTCTTAAAGCAAAGAATCCTAATAACAAACTCAATCTAGAAAAATCTTATAAAGCATATAGAAACTTACTTGTTACTCTCACCCGTCGTAGTAAAAAGAACCATTACTCTAAGTTCTTCTCTGACAATGCCAAAAATTTGAAATCTACATGGAATGGTATTAAGAACCTTTTAAACATTAGTTCGAGAGTTAACTCATCTCCTTCATGCTTATCTTCTACCAACTCCATGATACACGACCCCATTAAAATTTCGGAATCTTTTAATTCATTTTTTGTTTCAGTTCCGGAAGATTTACCAAATAAGATCCACTCATCCAATACTGACTTTAATAAATATCTTAAAAATCCTAATCTTAATTCAATGTTCATAAAACCTACAGACAAAAACGAAGTATTATCGATTATTCATTCTCTTAATGACAGCAAGGCTTCTGGACCTAACAGCATTCCAATACCTATTTTTAAAGCTCTTGCAAATGATATCTCTCCTGTACTTTCTGAATTATTTAATCTGTCATTCACAACCGGTGTATTCCCTGATATTTTAAAAACTGCTTCTGTTATCCCAATTCATAAAAAAGACTCAAAACTTGAACGTAATAACTACAGACCAATTTCATTATTATCAAATGTCAGCAAACTTTTAGAAAAACTTATGTATTCTCGTATTTACAACTTTTTAAATAATTCTGCTTGTTTTCATATTCGACAATTTGGGTTTCGCTCAAATCACTCCACTTCTTACGCTCTTATTAGCATTACTGAAATATTTCGTGGTGCAATTGACAGTGGTTCTTTTGCTTGTGGTGTATTCATAGATCTTCAAAAAGCTTTTGATACGGTTGATCACAACATTCTAATAAAAAAGTTAAACTACTACGGAATACGTGGTATTGCTAATCATTGGTTTTCTTCATATATTACGTATCGCACTCAGTTTGTTTCAATTAATGGATTTGAATCCACACATAAAGTTATTAAATAAATTATTAAAAAAAAAATGGCGTTCCACAAGGTTCCGTTCTTGGACCGTTGTTGTTCTTATTATATATAAATGGTTTATCTTGTTCGTTAAAAAATTCTATGATACATCATTATGCTGACGATACCAATCTTTTATATATCAACAAATCCCTCACGACTATTTGTAAAAAAGTTAATCAAGATCTTCATTGCTTATATAACTGGTTATATAGTAACCGTATTTCCTTGAATGTCAATAAAACTGAATACATTATTTTTCATTCCCCTCAAAAAACTATTCATCATATTAAAACTAAAATTAACGGTAAAAAACTTTTTCCATCAAAATATATAAAGTATCTTGGAATATATCTTGATGAAAACCTATCTTGGTATAATCAACTGTATCATCTAAAAAAAAAACTTACACGAGCTAACAGTATGCTTTCTCTAATTTGTTACTATGTTCCTATCCAAACTCTTCGAATGATTTATTTTTCTTTATCCTCTTCTCACCTTTGCTATTGTTGTATTGTTTGGGGTCAAAAAAGAAACTTTTTACTTAACAACATTGCTAGTTTACAACGCGCATCTATTAGAATAATGACGTTTTCCCCAATGAGATCTGATATCGAAAAAAAATTTTCTGAACTAAAAATCCTAAAACTCCATAATCTTGTAAAGTTTTACAATTGTCTTTTTGTGTTTGACTTTCTCCAAAATAAACTACCAAGCCCTTTTTCAAATTTTTTTATTAAAACAAACGAAGTTCATAATCATCACACCAGGAATACAGAAAATAGTAAGCTATACTATTCTTTTTTCAGCACAATCAAATATGGTAAGTTTTCCATAAAACAACAATGTATCTCTCAATGGAACCAGTGTATTCCTGCATTAACAAAAAAGTCTAAGAAAAAATATCCACTTGTTACGAATTTTTTACTGCTCAACAGAATTCAATTTAAAAATATATTGTTGGAGTGTATTTCTTTATAATTTCTCTCTGTACTATAGTTGTTATGTGGTTTGATTTTTATTTTATTTATTATTTACCAATCTTATATTTATTTATTATTGTTTTATTAATGTTACATTTTATGTTATTATTATATCTAATTATCATCTATGATTTGTACATACAATTTATATTGTATTATAATATTCTTAATA